AGTTTACTTAGTTCATAAATCCATGGATAAGTTTTAATCACACAGAATAAACTGTTTAAAGTTCATTTACAATAAACATATTTAATTTTATTAGAGAAATGATTGATGGGATTATGTATAACATATCTTTAGTGAAATGATTACTAAAGCTTCATATATCCACGCATTTGTATTCAAGTTGGAAAGGAATATGTATTTTCTAACTGTTGTATTAAGTCTATTGCTGTACAGAGATTTTTTTACATATATTTATAGGAGAGACATAAAATACTCAAAAGAATGTTAGACACTGAACTGGTAACTGACTCATGAAGGCAATCTCCAGATTCTGACTGTTACATATTACAGAAAACGAAACACTCACACGCTCAACTAGACAGGATCTTATCAATGATTAAGATATAGGCATTTCAGAAAGACATCAGTCTTACAGACTTTAAACTTGTTTCAGTGAAAACATTATACGGTGTAAATTATGAATAAGTGGTAAATGGAATAGTCACTTAGTTAACTTTAAATAGCTAAGAACCTGATACAGATGTAAATCGCTTCAAGTTGAAATAATTTAAATCAATAAAGAGAGAGGACATTCCTGAGATAAAGAACTTAAAAGTGAGGATAATAATAAGTCCTAGTGGAAAACTATTCACAGAAAACATGGTTTTACAGGAAAGTAATTATATGAACAAAAACACTGAGTAATTACCACACCCAAAACTCAGGAAACTAAAGCATGAATACATCTACTCAACTGCAATCGATCTTAAACAATTAAACCAAATATTTTTCATGATATACTGTAAAAAGCATTTCCGTCACCTGGTTCTTACATTTATCGATTCAAACAAACTAAATATACCTAATAAAAAGCTCAGGTACTCAAACATTCACTCAAAGAAAATGGTAAGCGATGCGTAAATTGAATTGATTAAAAGTAAACGATTCCAGAGAGATAAATGATTTTGATAAAAAATGAATCTGATGAAATATAAAATAGTCGCAATGCAACACAGTCAGTCAGTCAGTCAGTAACAACGTGGAACTTCGTACGTACGTACATCATTTCGAGTTGCCATACCACATTAGCACAGAGATTCAGTTATCGATTCAAATCCCATAGTGGTAGAGGTACTGAAAGTATAAGTAGAGATAGGGGACATTAAGGTTTGATGATGTTATTAAAGGAGTATAGTCCAGTGGAATAAATTGGGAAAGAAAATAAAGGACATGAAGAATTCAGAAGATTAGAGTTTGAGAGAACACAAAGAGTGGATGCACCTGCGCCATTGCAAACGATTTTGAGCCATGTCATTCAAGGTCTCTAACCATCGGTTGCTATCGTCTCGCGGTCCCCAACCAGGTAGTCTACACCTACCAACATGACTCAGTCCACTTGTCAGTGACTTCATGGATTTGTGCCATGTTTTGTCCTGACCACCCCTAGCTTTCTTCCAACCTACTCCTACACCATAAAACATAGCACGTCGGGGCAGTCGGTGGTCGGGCATGCGCAACACATGTCCCAGCCATCTCAACTGATTAAGTTTCACTACTTCCTCAATTGATTTGCCATCCTTACCTAGTACCCGTTTCATAACAACTGCATTACTTACTTGTTGGTCCCAGGATATAGGAGCAACGTTGCGAAGACACCTATGGTCACATACTAGTAACCTACGAATATCCTCTACTCTTACCGGCCATGTTTCACTGCCATAAAGTAGGACGGAACGAACTGCTGCGCAGTAAACACGTCCTTTGGTTGATAGACGGATATCTCGCCTACGCCACAAATGACGCAAGTTGGCAAAAGCTAGTCGAGCCTTTTGTATCCGTGCTGAGATTTCGTCACACACCAAACCACAAGGGCTGATGAGACTTCCGAGATAAGTGAAGCGGTCGACACGCTCAACTACTTCACTCCCTATCACTAGTTCGGGTGTTGACGCAACCCAATCCTGAAGTAACATTTTGCATTTCGAGGGAGAGAATCGCATGCCGAACAGGCTTGCATTGTTGCTTAGAGTGGTCAGCAGACTCTGCATTCTGTCAGCGTCTTCACTAAATAGAACTATGTCATCGGCATATTCTAAGTCAACAAGTGGATCTCCCGGTAGAAGTTCAACTCCTGGAAATTTAGATGAGGAAAGTGTCATCTCTAAAAGGACGTCAACGACAAAGTTAAACAAGAATGGAGAGAGTGGACAGCCCTGACGAACACCACTTGAGGTAATCAGTTCTGATGACAGTTCACCATAAGCTCTCACTCGACCAGTTGTGTTCGAGTAGAGAGCCTTTATAAGGTTGACGTACTTCTTTGGTACTCCCTTCAGTGACAAACATTGCCATAGAACCTTACGATCAACAGAGTCAAATGCCGCCTTAAGGTCGAGAAATACTACCATTGTGGGACGTCTGAATGTGTGTCTATGTTCTAGGACATGACGTAATGTGAATATTTGATCAATACAACCACGTCCAGGTCGAAAACCAGCCTGGTTTTCTCTAGTCTGTTCTTCATGAGCTTTGGTTAGGCGTCGAAGTTAATATTTCAGACAACATTAGTTAAACTGTTTCCTATGTGATTGTCACAAGAAGACTTTCATCCTTTCTTATAGACTGGCACAATCAGTGATTGAGATCAGTCAGATGGGATTACGTCCAGTTCCCAGATTCTACCTAAGACCTCAGTCAATCTCGCTGCTAATACTGGACCGCCATCCTTAAAAATCTCAGGGGTAAACCTGTCAGGGCCTGCTGCTCTCCCACGCTTCAGATTTCCTATAGCTTTTTCAACTTCGTAAAGAGTTGGAGGACTTACATCAACTTGCCATTCAGGTCGACTGGGGATCGTGGGAAACCGAAGTGTGGCTGAAGGCCAGTTGAACTGATCCCTAAAGAATTCTGACCATCGATCCAATCTCCTGGATTGAGAATGAATAATATGTCCATCTTTCTCTGCGATTGTTTCGCTAACAGTTGGGTTCCTAATACCGGTTTCCATAACAAGTCTGAACAGTTGCCTGATGTTACCTATTGCCGCTGCCTTTTCCATCTCTCTTGCGTTCGCTACCAACCACTGTTCACGATCTTTGCGTAGGCTTCTAGTCAGCTTACGCTTAAGCTGTCTCCGCTCTTCGTTATGTTCAGAGCCAGATGGAATGAGTTTTCGAGCATCTATCAGTGCGGTAGATGCTGCTGAGATCCAGTGTTTCTCCCTAACCTTATGGTTTACCGTACTTGCGGACATCACTGCTGTTCCTACAGCTTTTCGGATGTCATTCCACGCTGCCTCAGGGTGGGCATCACTTACATGGCTGTTTGACTGTTTTTCTAGTTGTTCCTGAAATATACTCGTAGCTTGACTATCATTAAGTAGGACCCTAAGGGGTTTCCTTGTACCATCTTTCCTACGTCCAGTAAGACGTAGACAAATACGCGCTCGCACTAGAGCATGATCTGAGTCTAAGCATGTGCTCCAGAATGAGCGACAGTCTTCTTTCGAGCCCCTCCATCGGTGGCTGATGACGATGTGATCTATTTGGGTCCAGCGTTGAGACGAATTAGGGGGTCGCCATGTTAAAAGATGTTTTTCCTTATGCTTAAAGTTAGTGTTTGCAAGAAACAGGCGGTTATCTGAGCATAGCTGCAACAGACGGTCGCCGTTATCTGTTCTTTGAACCGCGACACCATAAGATCCACCCAGGTGTCTTTCCTTTTCGCTTAGTTTACCTACTTGAGCATTAAAGTCACCAGCCACTATTACTACATCTGAACGCCTAGCTTTTCGGAGAAGGTCAGAAAGCTTTCTGTAAAACTCATCTTTTACATCATCTGAGCTGCAGTCAGTGGGAGAGTAGGCAGAGACGACGAAGAGGCAACGACGAGTGTCCCTATCTTTTCGAGTCCTTACTGTTCCGTTTAGTCGGACAGCACACAAACGGCTGTCTACTGGGATCCAGTCTAAGAGAGCTAGTTCTGCCCTAGGACTCAATGCTATACCTACGCCAGCGAGGCCACGGGATGCAGCATCAGAGCATCAAGATACACGAAGCGTGATACGTGATGGTTCGTTACTTTGACATGTTGAGGTTAAATGAATGACACTACTCGGATCCTGTATGCGCGTTTCGGAGACGCAGAACACATCGATGGCGTGAAATTCTAAAGTCCTAGCTGAGGAAGCCTGTTGTCCTACTTGGCACAGTGTTCGGACGTTGAAAGCTCCTACGTGTAGTTTAGAGCGTGGTTTCAAGAGACCGGGAATAACGTTCCGCGCACTCGAATCATTTGCATTAGCGGCGCTAGGTGTTAAAGGAACATGAAAACGGTTAGTCGTAGAGATAAGAGAGTTATTAGGAGGTGTAGGAAGGATTTGAATGTGATCAACTTGGTCTCGTGTGCTGTTACGTGTATGAGGGCTGATATCACTTCCTGGTTGCCCACACCGTGGAAGGGTATTTCTTGATGGACCTGAAAAGGAAGTTGGATTTGCATTGGTCTTCACGACCTGGGAGCGTAACCGTTCTTCAAAGAGCCTTATCACCGGGGATGGAAATCCGTGAGGTAAGGTGAGGTGTGACATTTTTAGGGTCGACCTTTTCTAACCCTTCCCTTCCTTGTGGGAAGACAGCATTGGTGCAGATGCTGGTTGTCCGAGGGAAACACCTTACTGCTGTCACACCTCTGTACAGTCAACAGTACGACTTCGCCCTCAGACCTTGAGTTGCTGCTTTTAGTCTTACCGTTCTCCAATCGACCTGCCTGGCATGGTAGAACCTGCAGGAACTTGACTTCCAGCCAATATAGCTCGGTTGGGTCATCACGATAGGCAAGCCCGACCACCACGTCAAGGTAGCAGCTACGGTCGGGCAATGCAACACACTGTTACTAGCACTAATTAATGCTAAGAAAAAGTGATGTTCGACACTTCCACCTCTGTAAAATGAATTGCGATGAAATATTTTTTAAAACGTTCTAAAAGAAAACATCTGCATTACCTTTTCAATAGCGGCAACAAAACCAGAATGATCGGCGAAAAATGGCAATTGATGAACAATGGCAACTGATGGATCATGAGCTTTATAGACGAAATCCCAAATGACCTCTGCGGACGCTATGAAAATTTCATATTAAAATAAAAATAATCGACTTACAATTATCTTAATATTTATCATAATCATCACATTTACAATTCAAATAAAAGAAAGGGGATTTGAAACAAAAAAAATCATATTTAGTAGTATGACATCATGTTCAAAAGATAGTATGTAAGTCTAACATTATTATTATTATCAGTATAGGCTTGCGGAGGTTGTTGAGCTTTGATTGAGATTATGAATCGATCAATGTTAGATTCGCTGAGGTCAGGACCTTCGGTCCTGACTCCTGCGCATTGCTCAGGAGTCCCATACTAGGACAAAACGACCGTCCATTGCTTTCAGGTTTCCAATGGTGGTCTAACATTGATCGATTCATTATCTCAATCATTATTATTGTTCAAATGTCAGATTAAATTATTTCAATAAGGTTAATATTCCTAAACTAAGTCTGAAAACATGCATGCTAAAAGTACAAAAAGTATTGTATTTATGAGAGATGCTACCTCCACTAGATTAACCAATATACTGGTAATTAACAAAGTGCCAGTAGAACAAATGAATTTAAAGAACAATGAACATTATAGGAAGACAACTTTTGTTCCCACTTTAAGCATAATAAGATACATATCTATTGTGAAAAAATTCCTCTACTATCACAAAAAATTAGATTCGTATAGTCTATTTAAAAATCATGAAATAACTTGTTGTGATGCAAGTTTACAGTAGGATGAATAGTAATGTACATGTTGAACATTTTTGCTGAATCTTGAGAAAACAAGTTACTCTATGGTTGTGAAATACCATATCTTCCTGAGACGTGGCTTCAACTGTGATAAAATATTCAGAAAGATTGACTTTAGATTGAAGACCTTTAGATGGCATTCAGCCTGGTTGATCATGAGGTTCTGTGGCAAGGTGCATCAAAAAAGTACATTAAACTTGTGAAGGCATTCTACTCAAACACTATTGTTCAAGTCGAAGCTTACGGTAAATTGTCTTTAGAATCGAGATATTTCAGTAGCCTTTGTTAAGGATGCCCACTTTCTTCACTTTTATTAAACTATGTCACAGAAATTCTTTCAAATATAAAGCATTCACCATCATACGTTTCAGGGATTGCTCTCCTACCAAACTATTCACTTGTTGACTTAGAATATGAAGACGATATTGTTCGATTTGGTGAAAACTCTGACAAAATACTGAGTCTTCTGACCATCATAAGCAACAATCCAAACATGTTTGAAATGAGACTCTCTACCTCAAAAACACCATATTCTGCTTTAGGATTGACTCGTGTCACCTCCTGAATTAATTATAGGAGGTGAGGTAGTTGAACGTATCGACCAATTCACTTATCTTGAGGATCTGATCAGTACTGATGGTCTGCTATATGGAGAAATCTCAGCATGGATTTAGAAGGCTCAATTAACTTTTGCCAATATGCATCACTTGTAGCATAGGCAATATATCAGTCTGACAACCAAAGGATGAGTTACTGTGCAGAATTTCAATAAGAAAATATTCCAACCTGTATGATCAGGAAGCTTATGATTTTATAGAACTTGATAAATATGATTTTCATTACTGAAACAGCCGAGCACTAGTAAGCAATTCTACATTAAAACGAAATAACTCTCCAGTGTTTTCTGGTTTTCAATCTTTTTAATAAAAGTTAGTCTGTGATGGAAAACTGCAAAATCCAATGATCTCCTTAACTCTTTATACTAAGACGAAATAAATAATCATTCTTAATACATTCATCAGAAATTAAAAATACAGACAAACATGTTTTGATCAACTCGATTACGCTACAATACGACCAGGCAAGACTTTTGAAGTAATTCACTACATGTATTCGAAAAAAATACGTAACGAACTAATTTCCAACCGACAGTCTGTATAGGTGATCATAACTTTCAAGATTGATTGAACGGTCATTTAGCTAATGTTAAATAAATAACAGGAAACATGAAAAAAATAGGGTGTACACTCTCGAACTACTACTTACCAATTTGATGAATGACAAATTAGTATTATAAGTAATTCATGTGCAGATTCATTTCTAGATAATTCTAAATGTTAACAAAATAATGTCTCACATAACCTACTTAAACCAGTTGTAAAACAGCAAAGATCACCAGTAGTTGTCCTAATGTTGTTAAATATGCACGTGGTTAATTTATAAACTTAATTAGTCATAAAATCATTGGAATTAATGAGATCGTTAATTTATTAAAATAAATTAAAACAATATCCTAAATTGACTTTCCAACAAATAAATCTCACTGTCCAGAATGTAAGAAATCACAATGAATTAACTGACATTGGTAAGTGTATGTACTTGACAGTTAATCGTTTTTAATTAATGATACAGTAATCATATAAAAAGCAGTTAATAACCTGAAAGGTGTTAAACTACAAACAAAACTACAGTCGAGTAAAAACGTATATATATGTAATCGGCAAGTGAACGATTCGATATTAAATTCAAAGCTCATGGTTATCAATTATAAAACTGAAAAATCAGTAGAAGCTGGTAGTTTCTCTTAAGCAACTAAGTGATTGCAATCAGCTACCTTACTTATACAAGGTATTGTTTGAACTGAATACCAGCAGAAGATCGAAATAAAGAGAAGGAAAAGAGAGAAAGAAGGAGAAAAAAAGGAAAGAAGGAGAAAATGGGGGAAAATAGAGAGCGATCGGAACAACAATAGGATTGGAAGAACGATGGACTGCCTAAAGGATAATTTAAGGAGGATATGCACATGATGGTGTGTGATTGTCATATTTTACAAAGACACTGTAATTTTGCGTAAAACAATAAATTGACTTATCTCACCTGATTTTTCGATCACTAGAATAGTATTTACAATTTCTAAAACCATTTTTTCACTATGAGACACAAAACTAAATAAGTAAAACTACATTTAAAGAAATATAAAAAAACATCAAACCAAACGGGTTAAATGTAATGTAGTAAATTAAACACTACAAACTGTAAATCTACCTTTAACTCGACTAGTGCTCACCCAAACAAGATTATATTTTGCAGCCTCGTAAGCAGGTACCATATTATGTACCATTGGATTCACTACTCCGTCTTTACCTCCTGAAGAATTAAAACAGATTTATTTTCAAAAAACAGTCAAGATCATTTCTTAATGGCTGAATGATTAAATCGTTACATGAAAAATTGTCCACATAAAACTTCACTAAGCTAATTATAAATTATTAAGTCAAATTATGTAACTCGGGAATTCTAGTTGTGCAAATATACAATTAATATCAATGATGATACAAATGATATGCAGGATTTTAATTATACAATTTACAAACCGAATTTTTAAACCCCAATTTATGCACCATGCAACAGCACGGGTTAGATTAAGCTCAAATAAAATCGTATTTAAAATTATTCTAGTAGTTTATAGATTTCATTAGAAAGCAAATCATATACAAACATACAAATAGATAGTTACACAGTGACTGATTGTCGCGTAATTAACAATATTCATAAAATAGTGAAGTTGTGAAATATTGCATGTTAATGACAGTTTAACTTCGTTTCGCATTTCCTTTTGCGATGTGCGCTTGATTCAAGATTCTGTATTATGGTGTCCGTTCAAAAGACATTTTAACCATTGACTGGATAAATATACCACTATTTTAAACATGTTGCTCAAGTTAACGTTCGATTAGTATTTAAAGCATTACTTTTATTAATCAACAGTTTCATCAAAATATCAAGTTCTTGTATATATTTACAGTTGAGGGAAAAACATTACTTATCAACATACTTTCTCCTGTTTTCATGATTGGGAAGTAAAATCTCAAGGAGCAGAGCAGCTGGTGAATCGTCAACTTCACTCAGTACCCCGATAGAAATGTAATTTAATAAATTTCCAGAGCGGATACGGGAAACTAATTCAGTTATTTGTGAGCTCCAGATATACTGAAGTAAAAAAACTAATCACGAAAAAATGTCTACCTTTGGCAAGAAGACTGATATTACTAATATGCTAGTTTTTATTTTAAAGACTAATATGCGTTCACGAGCATCTAATGAACAGAATTCATTAGAAATCTTATGAGTAGTAAAGTAACAACTACATTTTTAAAAGTATTGTTGAGTTATTTTGATATGAGTGAAGCATAAAACGGATGGGCTTATCAGCATTATGAGAAAAAAGGCTTCGACAAATTCAGTCACTTTCAATAACATGGATACAATTGTGATAGATCTTCAGATCAAAGCGCACCTATCTCATTATCACAATCAAGAAATGGATTCAACAAAAAACACTTTAGAAACTATCCGCATATTAGTTCGAAGAACTGCGTTAATAGGAAATGTTTTATAAAAACGAAAAGATATCCAGATCCTTTATAGTTATATACTACCAAAAAAGCTGTACAGAGTGAATAAGAACTTTCGTCTAAATTTGATCGAATAGTTTCACAGTGTTTGGGCGCCGAAATAATGTGAGACATTAAAGAGGAAGAATGTATTTGTAAAATCTCAGCGAATGAAATTGAAATAAATCCAACGTTTCACCTGGCAATCTGGTTCAAGCTTTTTCAAGGAAATATAATCAAACATCAAAATTATCAAATATAAGTAGGTACATGGTTATCCAGTTTACTGTATACTGAATAGGTCATCCAATCAACGTTAACAATGTTTAAAGTATGTATTTGTATTATTGTGTAAGAGACATGTGATGTGAAACGAAAAGTGTCAAGATAATAGAGCATTACTAAATCTATCTTCAATGAATTCATCTTGAACAATATAGTCCATATTGTAAGTGAAGTATCAAAAGATTCTGATGTTATTTAATAAATACCATTTAAAACAGTAATTATTATTCTAGTAACATCACTTTACCTTCTGTAACCTAATTTATTTAAGAATAAAAATTATAATTATAGAGGAAATCATTTTGTTGTTAGGTTTTCATTCTATTTTTTTTTCATTGTGAGATGATTTCCTAAAACAAAAAAATTTTTTCGCATTATGTAATGTGTTTAAGTCTCATTGAACAATACATATGACCGTAATAATATTATTACATTTTAGAAACATTTTGTAATTAAAATAAATAAAACAGATGATTTTATTTTTCCATGTTATTTCATTCTAATGCATTTTATACACACCTTTTTTTTGTTTTTTTTTTTGTTTTTTTTAATAATTTCATATGACTTATAATAAAAGTAAATTTGAGTATTTGCTTAACAATCATAAACAGAATTATGAGGCAATACGCACAGTATGTACATATGCCAATAACAGACTGATCAATTGCAGTCTTAAACCTCAATGGGAAGATTCAAGCAAAACAATACCGACAGAATGACTCAATTTTATTAAAGATAAAAACATAGTAATTTGAAAACGATTTCAATTTGTAAGTTATTTACTAGATAATGTGTAAAAATGACAAATTTCCTTTCTTGTTTAAGGGTTGATAACAGATCTTAGTATAAGAAAGATTAAAGAGGAAGAATGTATTTGTAAAATCTCAGCGAAAGAATTCGAAGTAAATCCAACGTTTCGCCTGGCAATCTGGTCCAAGCTTTTGCAAGGAAATATATATATATATATATATATATATATATATATATATATATATATATATATATATATATATATATATATATATATATATAGAATGATAATAATTATAATAACAATGATAAACTTCCGTTAGGCATAGTGATAGTGAGGAAATATAAACAAAGATATTAAAAAAATTTTAACAAAGAAAGTTTAATAATCGTTTGATTGTTAATGGCTTAAGTATTCATCATAAAGATAGATAGGGAAATTATCAATGGGATAGGATGGGTCAGCATGATAAGATAAAATGTTGAAATTGAGATTAAATGTGATCAGGAGGATCGTAGAAATAGAAATAAATCAGTTGAGGGTAGAAGATTTAAAGGGAAGGTGGAAAGTGAAGCAGACAGCTGTAAAGGAAGAAGAGTATGAAGAAAAGAAGACAAAAAAAGATGAGAAAAGAAAAAATTATATGATATCAAGACCATGGTCGAAGAAGAGGTTGTATCAATCTCCAGATGTATAGCTATTGGTTTGGCAATGGATGTATTCCGTTTACTAGAAAATCTCAATATTTTGATAAACTTGTACTAGTGATTAATATTTACTCTCAAATTTTTTAAGAAACACATAAACTTTCACACTATTTTCATCAGCTAACACTCCTTTCATTCAAAGTGATTAAATTTTATAAGAAAAATATATACTTAGAAACCGTTTCATATATTTCAACTACTATGTTCGCTTTAATCAAAGTACCATTTTATGAAATTTTATTTTGTTTATACTTATAACAGAAGTTAACTAAAACTGTTTTATTCTGTGAGTCCAATCGGAGTACCTGGCATTTCTATCGTAAACACTAACTAACTACATACTTAAGCCATAGAAATTTACTGATTAAATGAAATATATATAGCGGTAATTCTTTCTCTTTGTTTAAACGAATTTGTTATTGTTGCTTCATGTTAACAAATAACAAGTCGATAGAAAAAACCCTACAACTGTTAAATAATCATTTCTTTCTATCTATTATCACTGAATTCATCATTTATTTACTGTAATCTTTTTAATTAATTCATATCTATTGTCCATATCACAAAATCAATAAGTTTTGTCAACACATACACTGTTTATAGATAAATATATTTATATACTTCTATGCCCAGAACACATTTAATTTCTATCAAGCTTATGGTGCAACCAACCACATTTCGAGATTCCAAGTTAAGGTTTACTTTAATTGGACAGAACTTGCCCCATTTACTAAACACTACGGTTATAACAAATACACTTCTCCAATTAACTAATTCGTTTAATTTTTTTGGATTCATTAAGTTCTGTATAACAAGCTCACTTTGGGAATAATTCAATAATCAATACACTTCATCTTGCAAAACATACCTAATATTTCCGCTTTTTATTTCAAATGGGCAACAGTAAACTGCACGAAATCATGAAGAAAAATATTGTGTTCATCGATACTTATTGAAAAAAACTGTGGTCATACTGCTCTCAGAATTTAACACTACTTCGTTGGATATCAGTCAGTGATATAAACTAACTACACAAAATGCAAACCATTGAAGTAAATGATAGCCCTCCACTTATTAATAAATATGATTTTCAAAGGATGTATTACGGAACTGCTGGATGTGTAATCAGCAAAGCAGGAAAAATCACTAATTTTCAAAGAGGATACTTGGCAATAACGCCACTTTGTGATGAACAGACGAGTTGAACAGGATACTTAAACATCATATTATTACCGCCGCTTGATATCAACTAAAAAATCACAAGACACAAAGAACTGTTCACAGATATTTCACCTTTATTTAGAATTTCTTAGTATTGAGTACTCAAAATATGAGAGTGGAGCCCAGAGCATTCGGGTTTTAAGAAGAGTGCGATACAAGTTCACAACCATGTCGGAATCTAATGATCTACAAGCCCAACTTCACTTAATTTATAGTATAAAGTGGCTGTCACCCAATATTCATCAACGATGTTTATTTTACTTATAAAATGATTGACGTCGACCAGCCCCATATCTTCTCCCTTCAAATTTCCATGAAATTATCAAACAAAATGCAATTATTACTAAAAGAAAGGTTTAGTAGTAATATATTAATCATTCTGAATTGATACCAATTAAAAAACTATTATTATCAGAAGGGGTTTTGTGGAAATTTTAGTAATTTCAATGGTTAAGATCATGAGTCAGTTGAAGCTAGACTACCATGGAAAACCTAGAAGTAGGTCCTGGGTTGGAATCTCACAGGATGCGCACTGCTGAGGAGTCCCGTAATAGAATGAAACGGCCGTCCAGTGCTTCCAGGTTTTCCATGGTGGTCTAGCTTCAACTGACTCATGATCTTAACCATTAAAAAACTATTAATCTAAGAATTATAGTTCTCACTATAAAACCTAAGTGTTCCGAAACTAGTTCCTACTGCGACTGTGGGTGCATACTTCTGAGAAGTCTAAAACTAGTATAATATATTTGGACAGTGCCTATCAATTTTCAGTAACCCCCAAGTTATTACCGATTTGTGATGAAAATCACCTTCAAATAGTCAAATAAATTTCTATTTTAAAGAGTACGAACCACTTTTAAAATAATATCAAATATATACTCACCAATAAATAATCTGCTATTTACATGAGGATATTGTTCACATAAGGATTGTAATAAACTAATTACTGGATCATTTTCATTTTGTACACAAAATAACAGTTCAAACTAAGAACATATAGAAAAAAGTTATTTGAAAAGGTACAAATTAATCAGTACTATATTCCATGTACAATACACTATATAATAATAATTTAATTAATAAACCGTAAACATCATCAGTTGTCAGAAAAATTGCGTTAAATTACAATCTGTTCGTTCCCCAATTCATAAAGTTCACTTGAATAGCAAGGTGATGAAAGTACCTTTGATGAAACTATCAATCGAAATCAAATCACCATTTTTTATGTGCATTGATAGTGACATACAAATATTCCTGTAGAATAACACGAATCAAAAAACCGGATGAGTAAGAATTCGATGTTTTCGAGCCATTCATATATCACAAGAATCTGAAACTATGATTTAATCACCAAACGAAGGCAACCAGTTAATCATTCGTGGTAACAGATTTTTAAATACAGTAAATGAAGTGATTAAGGTTTTAAGGAATACTACATATACTAATAAATCTATTTGTTCCACAAACTGTTAATTTAAGGGTGAGGATTATTAAGGGATAATTGAAATCTAGCTTGTCGGTGATTGTGCTTATTTAGTTATTTAGTTGAGTGGTATACCGACTGCATAGTTTACATTATATGACGACGGCAACAACCATTTAGTCAATAATCCAGTAAGACAACTGTCATTACTGTAAAGTGTAAAAAAAAATAATCTGACCAACAAAAAAGATACGTGTTATATTACTATCTTATTGTTTACAGTGAAACAATTACTGTAGATATTACAACAAAGATAGCATAGAATATACTACCGAACGGTATAAGTAGCTAGCCTCTTGAACTCATTGACAAGAAGAGAGTTAAGTAGTGAATGAAGATTCTTACTAATTTCTGCACCTAACAGCGCACATTCACAGTATGTAACAGGAGAATCGATTGGTGAAAACTCTATTTCTTACAATAATTTACCTTCCATTCATGAATACATCATATTGATAAGAGTTAGCAAGAACAATCTGGCTTGATAGATTATCGTCTTTTGATATTAAAAAACAAGATGTTTATTTGATTCATATCGACAAAAAAACAAGTATATATCAGTTACAGAATGTGTGAAACCTCCAAATCACTAAAGATGCTAACCAACGTAACCATTGGGCGAAAACTCAGTCACGTTTAACAGAATAAAACCAAACGACAAAACAAATATAACATAATTATAAACTTGATCGTTTCTTTGTATATTTAATGAAAATAGGAGGTTATTAAACCAATAAACAGACAAAAAAACTACAATGTTCAAAGAAGTATCTCAGAATGAATGTAATCACATAAACAAAGTTCCTAGTTAGTGGACCTAAACAAAACTCCAAGCACTAATCAAGTAACAACGTTCTATTGAAAAAAAAATCAGTCAGTCAAATTTCTATTATTTTTAGAATTACTTTAAGATCAAATTAGTGAAGTGTCGTAGTATGAACATTGTCTTAAATGTGTAATATATACTTCATTACAATAAATTATCTTCATCTACATGAAATACACTTGTTTTATCTAACTTTGTGAATTTTCAAAAAACTTTTGTAAAAAGTTTCTTTTTATCCTGAGAATCATGAAGTTGATGACAGCAGACAAATTTAATTTTAAAGGAATGCGTTAACCGTCAAGTATCTAGTGCTTAAATTTTGAAGAAACATGAGTAACTATACGATAAAGACAGTCTATATTTCTGTTTTAAACAATTGATACAATTCGCTAGAGTTCAATAACTTTTGTTTTAACATAAACTCTTTTCTAATTATTAGTATGGGGTTGTGGAGATTGAGTTTCAATTGAGATCATGAAATGACCAATGTTAGACCGCCATTGAAAAAATGAAGGAATTAGACGTCTGTTTCGTCCTAGTGTGGGACTCTTCAACAGTGCGCACCCACGATTCTGAAGACGGTCGCGCAATATCATGGATTGGTTTAAGTTGGACATCAACACCATCGGATGCTAGCTAGGTGATCAAGAGTATAAGCGTTCGCGACCGAAGGTCCTGGAGTCGAATACCTCCTTTCGGTATCTTTTCCAATGATTCTGTTCCCCTTTAAGCTTCTCACCAAGTAAATACTTCTTCGGAATTAGAATTTGGGAAACTAATCCCTGGACGATATTTATATGATTACATGCGTATACATTATATTCTCTATTTTTTCTGTGTATAAAAGGAAAGTACGATGAAACAATTAATTTGGTAATACGTAAGAATAAAGTTACACTATGAATCACAATGAGACGATAAGGCAAACAATATTCAAAAATAGTCTGTTGTCGATTTATTGGCAAGTATAATACTGATAGATGGAATTTGAAAGTAAACTTTAATCGAAGTAACATTTAAAAAACCTTAGATCATACTTACTAGGTAAAACAAACCAGATTGTTTTATGGTGACAAGTTTTCATTTATGCTGCAACTGGCTTGAAAGTTATTATTAGATACATAGATTTTATATCATAAAACAGATAACTTCTGATTTTCCGCAATTTAGATTTAGGTTTTAAAAATCTGGTGAAATGCGTTTAATACGTTCTTACTCAACCTATATACATGAAACTCATCTTAAAAGCTCAAATATAAATTGTAATAGCATTTTTGACTAACCAATCGATGTGCATAACATGATAAAGTGTAATAATTTCTATTTCACATATGTTTAAACTCAACCAAACTTACAAAAAAAGCATTTTCATGTACAATTAAGACAATTAGGTTCATTTAATCGACTGTACTTCAAATAACATTATACATGATACTCATAATTCATTGAAGGAAATAAAACGCTGAAACGTAACTTATTTGCGAAAAACTAATTATATTTAATCAATCAATCAGTCAGTAACAACGTAGAACTTCGTACGTACGTACATCAGTTCGAGTTGCCATACCACACTAGCACACAGATACAATTGTCGATTAGAATCCCATAGTGGTAGTAGTAAGAGTATAAGCAGTAATCGGAAACATTAGGGTTTGAAGATGTTATTCAAGGAGTATAATCCAGTGAAATAAATTTGGAAAGAGAAAAAAGAAAGGGACATGAAGAATTCAGAAAATTAGAATTAGGGAGAACATAAAAAGTAGATGCACTTGCGCCATTGCAAACAATTCTGATGAATGTCATCCATTGGTTGCTATCATATTGCGGGTCACAACCAGGTAGTCTACACCTACCAACATGGCTTAGTCCACTTGTCAGTGACTTCATGGATTTGCGCCATATTTTGGTCTGGCCGTCCCTTTATTTTATTATTTATTTATTTTAACACATAGGTATTGGTACACGGAGGAACCAAATACATATGCGCCACACGAATCTCAATTGATTTGTGTGAGGGCTGTGATACTGCCCGGGTGCCCAAACCGAAGCAAGTGGTTTTCTTAGGGACCACACCCCGAGCCTTTGACCTGAACGTCTGATCCACAAGACAGTGGAGCATCGTAAGGAGATGCAGTCCCATGGTAGCCGGTGACCAACGATTAGTTCATACGCCATTTGTTCCTTCAGGATACTGGAGCTCATGTGCACCATTGATTTGGGATCCGGTTAAAGCGCCGGAAATTCGCTTTTCGTCCTCTCATTTACGTAAACAACACCCCCGCCACTAGAAGGCAGTGAGTAGGACTTCCCTGGCAGAGGCTATATACGCATTGCCATGTGAGAGTATTTCGAGAGGGAGAGCGGACTCACCCCACTCTCGGCTGTATCAGGGCATTTGAGGGCACTGGCTGTCCCTAGCTTCCTTCCAACCTACTCCTACACCATAAAATATCGCACATCGGGGCAGTCGGCAGTCGGGCATACGTAACATGTGTCCCAGTCATCTCAAGTGATGAGGTTTCACTACTTCATCAACTAATCAATCTTAACAATTTTATACGAAATTTTCTGTTGAAATTGAATGATTGAATTTAATGTAGCTGGACAAATTTATATAATTAGGATGAACTTCACATTTTCTAGATAAAATGTGTAGTTGGTCAGGCTATTCAAAGCTCTTATTTACTCAAATGGTATTTTTAAAAATGAATTAGACTACTTAGTGAAACATCTGAATATAAATCTTGTACATAATGTGTATTTACAGTTACCCAAATATTTATAGTTTATTTAAGTACAATGATTTTCTAAGAAACTATATCAGATAGCATTGAACAACTGACAAACTATATTTAATGAAGCAGTGGACGTTTCTTAGATAAATCATTTCATGATAAACGTCCAAGCTACAAAATAAAGAAGTTATCTGAAATTATTTTTTACATAAGAGTGTGGTTTTAGTGAAATTTCCTGCAGTTTACATAATTTTGGAAAATACATTTTAGACCGACTAAAAGTAAGTTATGAAATTTTAATGTATTACGGTAAAAAAAACCTGACTGACAGAATGTTTTGTTTATAAAGAAAAAATGTATAGGTTTGAAAGAAAAGGTGAATGGTGGTGGAGGGGATTTTGAATTACGAGTCGTGTAAAAAGGTCTGTCTATATCATCCTGAGTTTCACTTCAACTATATTGTAATATCATGTGAACTTAACGAATAAATCTGTTTACAACTTATTATAGAACGTGCTCATCATCCCATGCCGATTCAAACCTAGTATCCATAACATAAATCCAATCGCATACTGATATAAGGGATACAATCCATTTTCAATGTTTAAAAACCTTGAAATAACATACAGATAACCATAGTAGTATGAGGAAATGTTTTATATATTCCATATAATTTTTATTTACCGGTATTTAGAATAAAATATTACAAGACAAATTATCAATTTTTCCCTAACGTAAACAATGGAATGTACTGCAAAATATTGATAATATTGTCATCACAGTTTATTTGTACTAAGGATAGAAAACATTAGAAATCGATGTAATTAATCTTTGTAAAACATAATGTGATACAATATACAATGAATTAGTTGCCATACCACATTAGCACAGAGATTCAGTTATCGATTCAAATCCCATAGTGGTAGAGGTACTGAAAGTATA